CCATCTCCAATATGTCATGAAGCCCAGCTGTGTTTGGGTTGCATAGGACTGACTGTTAAAGACTGTTGGTACTCTGGAGTTTTAGTTATCTTTGGACAGTTTATTCAAAACAAGTTTTCCTTGCCTTTCTGGAAGAGCATTGTTTGAACAGTTAAAACAGAACTACATGCATATCTGTTACAACCAAACTCAACCTTTACTTGAACCATTAGTTCGCCTCACACCACATACTGTCCAGCAAACCAAACCCCCAGCCTTCACTCTTCCCTCCACCTCTGCCACCCAGCAGTGCCTCACTTCCATGCTTATACCACAGTCCAAGTTGCTTTGGGTGACAGCTCTGTGTTGGAAAGATTTGCTGAGTTTTTCCTAGCAGAACTGATCACTTGGTTTATTTGTTCCCACCGAGGGACTTTGGAAGGATCTTCTGACAATGCATTAGTCTGAGCCCTGGAGAGTGTAAGTTAAATCACGCTAAGTTCCTGGAAACCAAAAAATTCCAGCTGGCATTTAACCAGGAATGCCTCAGAGCTTGTCAAATCACTCTACGACAAAGTAGAAATACTCATATATGTAGCATGAATAAATCACATTCTTCACAAATTAAGGATAAATGTCCATTAATTGTTAGCTGACCTTCCAGAACTCTTAAAGCTTTCCTCATATGAAGACATCTTCCTACTTAGAACTTCTCTAATTCTCACAGAATGAAAATAATTAAAATTATATACTCTGTTAAAAAGAAAGTTAACAATGGCTATGAAGCTGTTATTTCCGTTTTTAGAGCACACCGCTCCATTTTCGTGTTATTTTCCCTGATCCCTGTCTTTTCAGGCTCATCAGGGACAGCATCAGTTTCTGCATGTAGCATAAACAGTACAGATTCTCCATACAGAATCAAGGGAAGGTGAAAGCAGAAAGCAACCTTCCTATCTGTTCCATGGACATGCCAGCAGCACTCTGACCCGTACTTAGCTCACATTATTTACAAAGTTCTCAAAACCAGATAAAGCAACTGTAATGAGTACTGGGTCTCTAAATTGCCAACACAAGCTAAGAAAAGAACACCTAAGTTCCTGGTACTGCTGTGAAGAGTGAGTGTAAAATTCCTCTGTGTTATAGGCAAGGCTATTCCACTGTCTAGCTCCATTTACCCTTTGAATAAGAGACCGTACAATAATTTCCCCAACAATAACTCAAAGCCATAACCTTTTTGATTTGAAAGACCATCTGATAACCACACCAGAGAGGTGCAGAGAGGATATGAAAGATGGAAAAGAAGCAGTACTTCATGGAGTTTCTCTATGGATTGGTTGGCGACAGTGTACGAAAACAAAAGAAAACTCCTTGCTAGCCAGATGCCATATGATTTCCTAACCACACACCTTTTTTATAGTAATTTTTGAATGAAACAGAGATAGACATTAGATAAACATTAGGAAGTAGTGCACTCCCCAGTGCACTCCAAACCATCTTGGGGAATGACACTGCAAAATGAATGAGGTAGCACCGGAACAGCTACCCAGTCAGATTATTTGGGATCCAGAAGGAATTCTGAATGAAGTACCACACTAGCGCACAAGATTTCCAGGCTGCAGGACCAGTTGTTCATACATCCCACAGCACTACTTAAAACAACTCTTCAGCACCAAAGCCCACCCACTTCAATTTAGTGTTTTGGACAGTGCTTGGGTTTCTGAAAGGGGGGAACACCGCCCCCCCCCCCCCGGGGCTTAGGAAATAACTGACCAGGAGCCAAATACTGCAAGAAGCCAACACAGCAAATATTAGAGCTTTCATTAGAAGTGATAATTGCAAAGCAAAGTTTCAATCCAATTTGAAATGTACACACTTAGAAGAAGATGGAACAAAGGATATATAAACAAGATTGACTTTATTTTTATTTAAATTTTACAAACAATAACTTTTATTCCAGCTACTTGGGGCCAACTGACAGTCTCACAGAACAGTAAATTTTAAACTCATTACAGCTAAAAATGCAGAGAGAACCTCTGAGGACAGTCTACACTTGTTTTAATCTTGAAAAGCGTATTAGGAACCACAGTGAGGATAAGGCATATAAAAAGGTATTTAAAAATGCCAGTTCATTTGTAATGATATGGTTATAGATTCTCCAAAAATCTCCCCGTTATCAACATTTGAATGTTTCTTTCAATTACAAATTAGCCATTATAGCAGACATTATAGCTTAAAAAACAGAAATAAGCAGTCTTGCAAGTAGAGCGGCAGGCTCAGTGTCAGTAAGTGAAACGTCACAGAATACTGGAAACATTCATGATGGAACCCACATATTTCCATGTGTATCAGGTGCGTTAGTGTAAGGAATATTCCAAATCCACGGTTGATCTGTAAACCAAACCCAAAAACACGCTCATGACTTTCAGTTATTAAATGTAAAATTTTGATGCTCTTCCTCCCCTCCCTTTGGAGGAAGAAGGTCAAAATTTCCACTGATTTTCACATAATCCCATGTGCAACTTCAGTATGCTGAAAATTTTTATTCACCTATTTTTTGAAAGGGTAAGATTTCGAGTTTTCAAAAGGCTTTGCTTCCCCCCAAATATTATTTTAAATATAATTATCATAACCCAACATACTCCCCACCAGCTGTAAAAGAATTTATTTCAGACAGTAAACAAGAACAGTAATGCAGCCAAATTTGGTTTGGCCCAAACGCAGCAACTTTTGTGCTGTGTATCTCTTAACCCAATGGAATTATTTATATAAATAAGTGCTGTAACACATTAGTATTTTCCACATGGACAGTAAGAATTCAGTATCTACGAATGACGCTGCCTGAACTCTGAAATGTTCGAGTTCACGCCTCACTTTTTCAAATATTACATCTTTAGATGAGCAACAGGTTTGCAGCAGACAGTTCCCTCCCTCCTTCTCAGAATACAGAAACTATTCCCACTCTTGGGAAGGAGAAAAGGCAACACAGAAGGAGCCAACTGCTAGTTCTGCAACCTGCTCTAGGCTCCTCCTTGTACCACATACATGATGCAGAAAAGCAGCTGGTCTGTGAAGCCGAGCTATTATTCTACTTCTCTCGGGCTACTCCTACTGAAATACAGAGAAAACTCCTTCAATGCTTTCAGTGATTCTTCTCAAATAAGAAGTTTATATAAATCTAGCCTGCTTCTTTTCTCCATCTACAAAATGAGCCCTGAAGGAAGACAGTGACATTAACCTGTACAACGCATAGGTTAAGCTGAATTGTACTGAGGATGATGGAGTAGTTCATTTATCAAAAACAAGCAACTCATCTACATGTTATACTATATATACTTGCTAAAGAAGATTTGCTACATGGTTTTCAATTGAAATTTTACAGAAGCTATTAATTATGATTATTGTTGTCCAATTTTAAGTTTACAGGATCCAATGCCAGCTCTCACAATATATGAAGTGAGAATTACTGTAGCAAGAAGAGTAAGAAAGTGACAGAAGCAGTAATAAAGGGACATATAAATCACAAAACAGCACACTGTGACAAGTACCAGGCCAATTAAACATGGGGCAGGGAGAGGATTCCTGCTAAGTACTCATTATGACTTGCTACTAGAGTGCGTTTAGTTCTAGTACTGTAGATCCATACGTTACAGTGAAACATATCCCAGCTTTGCAAATGTTTTACAAAAGTGTCTGTTGAATCTGCCTCACTTGAAAAAAGACACTATGTTTAGAGTTTATGAAGACTGCTGGGATGTTACAAGCCACAGAAATGTGATCACCAGAGAAAGAACAGCCTGTGCAACAAATGCCATCTTTCACATAATGTTATTGTAAGAGGACAATAAAAGCAAACATCCATGTCTTCCCCTGATTTAAAATCATGATATATCTTCTAGGTGGAAGAAGTAGTTGGCTGTCTTTTGGGTACAGTGGATAGGTGATTTCCAAGCACAAAAAAATAAAAGGCATCGGAAACTGGAATAAACTATAGCACTTAACTCACAGTGCACTGCCAAAGAACACCTCTAGATTTCTGGGTCAACTGCAGGATATTGAAACTTTGAGTGATCTCTTAAAAAAAAAAAAAAAAGTAGCATCATTATTTCCCTAAGCTTATTTATCAGTCTCCTGCTTGAGAGCCATGTGTACCTTTTGTGTTTTAGGTGAATACCTTACCGCAGCGTAAATGTTAATAGTTATAAGAATAGGTACAGAATAAAGCAAATGTTGGAAAAAGCATCGAGGATTTCAAGCATACACCCAGATTTGATCACTGACCACTATCGATGACATCAGAAAAAATCCAGTTCCACTCAAGCACTGGAATCTGTCACCTGGAGTACATTATGCAGCTTGGACCTATCCATCTTTGCTACCATCTGCGGTTACTCTTAATTCAGCAAAACATACAGGCAGAGGAAGACTTAGATGTACAGAAATAACTTCAGTCACTCCTTAAAGTGCTCTGAGATACTTCAATATCTAATTTAGTTCTTTTTTATTGTGGCTATTTTAATAAAATTTTCTTAAGGTAGCTATGAATGTACTTGGAACTTTGTTCTATTAATGGGATGCTGTTGGTTTTATAAAACACCTGATTCTATTTTAATAAGCCATGTGTAAAACTATTGCTGAAACAAATTATAATTTGGTTGTTTTTAAAATGTCAGATCCAATTTAAAATTATTTATCACTTTTATCACTGACAGATGGTAGTATGGTATGTATAGACAAAACCAGAAAAGTCTGTGAATTACAGGAACATGCAATTGAACAGTAAAGTATAAAATACAATTAAAGCATCTTTGTGATCCTCTTCCTACAGTTTAAAATACAAGTGTCTTTTTCACTGTGAGTGATCTGGATGAGAGCTATTCCTGGTTGATTTCTAAACACAGAGACTAGATTCTTACATCATCTTTCACAATATTTCATGAGCCTTCCAATTGAAAAATGTAGCTTTAAAGTATTAAGTGTTCACATATATAGAAAGGTTACTCACAAATAACTGGAGTTCTTCAAGTCATTCTACACATACATTCTAACATGGCAAACTTACTCCCTGCTGCATGATGCTGGAAAGTTCTTCCTTTCAGTATTGGCAGAAGGCGCACACTACATTTCAGGCTCTTTTCTCCCCTTCCTTTGGATGAGCATGGCATTTAAAACAGAACTCATATTGTTCCTCTCAATGCAAAAATCATACCCGAAAGATCTCAAGAAGGGGGAAAGGCAGACAGGGTATAGATGTGGGATCTATAACAATATTCACAAACAAGGTAATAATTCCTGAAGGCCAGGACAATGAACACTCATTGGGGAAAAAAAAGAAAAAGAAAACAAAGCCAGTACTGCAGTTTAAAAACAGGATTTGCTTTGTTTCTCAAAGTGCTGATGTGATGAGAAAAAAAAAAAAAGTCCCTTGCACTTTTCTGAGGCCTTTCCCAAGTTGTTCTAAAAAACCCCCTTGATGTACTTAATATATAAAGTTTCAAGTTCCTCCCATACAGCAGATTATTTCACCAGTCAGTAAACTGTGTAATATTTAAATCACAAATTCAGTGACATTCCCTGACTACAGCAAGCAGCTTGTACCTCTTCCCATGCAAAGGTACAAACCACCTCCCCCCACCACCCCCCCCGCCCGGGGGCTGTACCCCTTTGTGTAATGTAAGTCTGTTGTAAGAAACTTCTCAATAGGGTGAATCAAAAGTGATAGGGGTATCAGTCCTCAAGCACTCTAAATGAATTGCTGTACTTTCAAGAGAGAATCAGGTCAACTTGTATTGGTAAGAGAGATAATAGCAATATTGCAACTGAGATGTGACAATGGAGCTCATAAGAAGATAATTTTATACAACAAAATAGCAATACTCATCTGAAAGATTCTAGAGGGAAATAAAGATCTGAATATTATCAAAGGCATAAAGAAATTTTATTTATGAAGATATCTTGCTAAGTAAGATTGGCTGTTGTGTGCATGTTTCCCACATACCAGACTGGATCATTTTCTCTTTTTCTTCCAAGGAACTCTCAAATTATATTACTGGTCTACGGGTTTCTTTTATCTTAGTACCACCAATACATTCAGCTTTGTCATAGTCTTTTTTTTGTTATGACAGCCTGAATCTGTTGCTTAACAACAGAGGAGTTCAGGAGCTTGTTGTATCTATATAGTTTATCTATCAAGATAAGTAGCACTTACTAAGTAGCACTATCAGCTACCAGGTAATTTTATTTTTTTTAAATTCTTAAAATGTTTTGCCCTGAAGATGCATCTGCTGCCTACAAATGGCCTGCTGCTGCTCAGCTGACTATTGGAGGTGAACAACTGCAATTGCTCAAAGCAGCAATTTGCAAAGAGTTAATAACATACGTTGCACACACCAAATGTTATCTGCTAAAAATTAATGAGGCCCTTTGTCATTTCAGAGTAGGAATGATCTTAATCTTTATTTTAAAACTGCCAGATGTAAACTGTGTGTGTTATTTCCTGCAGCAAGAGAAAGATGCAAGCTATGTATATCATGCATAATAAAACTGGTTTGTGCTGGTAATTTAAAGCAGCTGGGAAGCAATAGTCTAAAGGAAAAATGTCTAAGTCTGTGCAACCTTAACTCTGATCTGTTAGGATGACATAGTTACATTTCCTCAGACTTCAACTACAAATCTTGCACTCTGCACAAGATGGATCAAATCAAATATAAGTTCAACAGCTAGGGTGGGCATCATACTTCTATCCTGAAAAGAATAACAAATATAAAGTGCTTTTTTAAATTCTTGGGTTGACCAACTATTGAAACAAAATATTGACCGTCTGGTGAATTTGCTGTCTCATGATGATGCTCTCAACTAATGATCTGAAGCATATTTTGGAAGATCTCTCTTAACCAAACACAAGCTTTGAGCTCAAAGAAATTGGCTAGTAATGTGGCAAAATCAGATGAATCTAGTAGCTCCTTCTGGTCTTCAAGTCTGTAACCCCATCAAAACAATACATAGAAGTGGTCAAACTAAATGGTGACTCTGTAACTCAAGCTTCCTCTTGTACAAAGTGTTAAATTTTTCACAGTCGTTATAAAAAGCTTGAAGAAAACCAGGTTTTGCCATATACTCGGATGTTACAATTGGACTCTGGGAGGCCATCTGAGGAAGCATCTGATGTCAAGTTGTCTTAAGAGAGCTTCAATCTCAAATTGCAGGTTTAGTCAATAATAATGCTTTTGGTTCCACCTAGGAAGGAAATGGATGCCAACACAGACTAAGATTGGTTCCAACACCTGCTCCACACCACCTGCCCTGGTATATGAACTACAATGACAATGTATACTTGCTGCTTGAAAAAATTGAAAAACTAAACTTCTAAACATACTCAGGTTTACATTTAC